TGGTAGACAGAAGCGAACATACACAGTTCTCTTATTTTTAAGAATTGTCTTTAATTCTACCCATTGATAACTTGCTCAGTACTTTATAAGTGCCAGGGAATAATATATTTATTTATTTTAAAAATATTTTTATTCATTTTACATACCAACCACAGATCACCCTCCCATCCCTCCTCCCACTCCCCCCCCACATTCCCCCCCCCCGCCCCAACTCACCCCATCCCCTCCTCCAAGTGAGTAAGTTCTCCCATGGGAGAGACTGCAAAGCCTAGTACATTCAGTTGAGGCAGGACCAAACCCCTCCTCCCTGCATCAAAGGTGAGCAAGGCATCTCACCATTGGCAATGGGATCCAGAAAGCCAGCTCATGCACCAGGGATAGATCCTGATCACACTGCCAGGGGCCCCTCAAACAAACCAAGCTACACAACTCTCTCCCATATGCAGAGGGCCTAGTCCAGTCCCATGCAGGTTCCACAGCTGTCGGTCTACATTTCAAGAGTTTCTATGAGCTTGGTTCAGTTTTCTCTGTAGACTTCCCCATCATGGTTTTTACCCCCCTTACTCATATAATCCCTCTTCCCTCTTTTCGACTGGACTCCCGGAGCTCACCTTGGTGCTTGGTTGTGGATCTCAGGGAATAATTTAAACCCAACTCTATAATGAACTGCATCTTCTGTGTTAAATTTGTATCATCCAATAAACATTTGTTGAAGGTCTTCTGTGTGTTAGGTACTGTGTCTAAAAGACACTTTCCAAGTGTGGGTTTAGGCTGTTCTTATCATAACCCATTAGCAAAATACAAAATAAAATCAGAATTCCACATCAATGTGTATCAGAGTTTCTGATATTTTACATCTGTCAACAACCAATCCTGGGAAAGACATACAGTAGACAGAACCCCGTGTGGAGTGCTAGAGAGTTGGGGAAGTGATGTAGTGCTTTGTAGATAGAGTTAAACAAGCATCTATCCTATTTCTCAAGAGCACCATTAGGTGTTCACCAGGAGAAAAATAAATGTTCACAGCATCTTTTTACATCATGGCTGAAAACTCACACATATGAGTGAGTTAATAAGTAATTAGGACATATTAATTATGGCAAATTTTTCAATAACAAAAGTAAATAATAAAATTATAATAAAATAATTAAATTAATGAAGCAAAACATTAATGATCATTTACCATATGATTTCCTGTTTGTGAAGAAGTGTAACAGGAGAAACTAATCCCCCATGGCAGGTGGCCAGTTAGTGGTAGCTTGTGCTCAGAGGTGAAGAAAGACTGCCTATAAAGCAATAGAAAAGTCTGTATCCTCACGGGCAGGAGGGTGACGAGTAGGTGTACCATTTTTAAAAGCAATAGAAGATACAGTTGAGATGAGTCTTCCAGGCTCTTCTAAGAGATTGACCAATCTTGGTAAAATGAATCTGAGTTGGAATTTGAGTTGAGTGACAATGAATGAGGGCTGATGGTTTTTCAGAACCCATAGAAATCAACTTACAAGGAAAAGAGAAAACTTTTGTCTTTGAAGACATCTGTCTACAATGGCATCAGTCATGTATGAACCTGAAAGAGAACCCAAAAGAAGACTTTCACATGCCAGAGTTTCCAAAATCTGAGTTTGATGGAACTCGGTGGGAGGTCAAGGAAGAGACAAAGCTACTGATCCCCCATTATCTTCCTGGTCCACAAGCTTCAGCCTGTCTCCCTGGGGGTTGTAATTACTAATGTGAGGTCCTACAAGCCTATTATCCAGGTGTTGGGGACAGTCAAAATTGTCATTCAAAATGTTTTCCCATGAGTACATCTTAAGGGAGGAGGTGAGATCACAGAAATATTGAGTCTCAATTATAGTATGTTTCTATGCCAACGGATCTTCCCTACTAATAAGGAGCCATGACCACCCAACTCACCTTTCTCATCTCTACTTCTGATCAGCTTGACTAGAAGAAAATCCAAAAGTTTCCACCACCTTAGTCAATTAGGATTGGGGACAGAGTCATTTCACAAAGAAAGTCATGCCTATACTCCGTTCTATGAAGAATGTGTGTGGTAGAGACAATTGTGAACATTTTAAATAGTGTCATAAGCATACTTTGTTAGAAACGAAGATAGACAAATTGATGTCTTTTAACATTAGAATTCATTCAGTAACAACAAACTCATAAGCTATGCAGGTTTTGCTGGCTGGAACTTTCCAATTAATCCTGACTTCTTTTGATACCTGGCTAAGTCTAACACAAGCTCTTACATTCTTAAGACTCTTAACCACTAATAATAACCTTCACATCACACAGAAAAACATCTATATGCACAGGCATATGCGTATACATAGGTCAAAAAACAGGTCAAAGGGCTAAGAGGCCACAGCAGAGCTCCAGAAGTTCCAAACAGACCTAACTACTAATGATGTAAGTGATCGTGGGAATTGCATAGTTCACCCTGTTAGAGGTCTGCTTGAGACACAGTGACAGAGTCAAGCTGCAGATTCAGAATTGAGTCTAGCCTCAGAGTGTGCCAAGCTACAGAAGTGGAGCATAGAGACCATAGAGACAGAGGGTAGCATTGGGTCCAGCTGGGAAAATGGGCAGATGAATGAAGAGCTGGCCCAAACAGACAAATATATAGATGGACAAATCACAGGCTCAGATGGATGAATAGCATTCTGGGTAGCCACACCAATAATGGAGGCCAAGCTAAACTGAGTTTCTAGGGCAATTGGTGCTTCTCTGTCTATGGGTCCCGTAATGCATACACTAGGTGGTCAGACGGACGGTTTTTGAGGACTACAGGCACCCCAGTGTGAGGCATCCAAGTGAGAGTACTACATGCATTCCTTGGTCAGGATTGTTCAATAAATTCTTAGGCCCAGTTTTCTTTATATGATTTTAATATACTCATGTGTTCATATGGTCTGGTCCCAATTTACTTTGATAAATTTATAGGATGGCACAAATTCTACTTTTAGAATTAAGTTGCCAGTCTGTGCATCCTGGGTTGTACTGGACAGATGGTGATATTTATGTGCGCAACAAGGTGCAGAGTCCTCCTGCTTGTGTGTTTGTACTCTAAATGGGGTCAAGTGCTGCTTATAAAAGAGATCTTGGGTCAGGACATCCTGGAAAAACAACCCTTTTACAGAGTATTGAGTAGTTTAGAACAGGACCAAATTTGAGAAAAGTCTTGAGTAGGACAATTAAAAAGTGGTGTGTGTGTGTGTGTGTGTGTGTGTGTGTGTGTGTGTGTGTGAGAGAGAGAGAGAGAGAGAGAGAGAGAGAGAGAGAGAGAGAGAGTTAATAATGTTAAGAAGGGGCCAAGTATGGTGGCACTCAGTGGGAAGAGGAAGGGGGAATCTCTGTGAGTCCTAGGCCAGGCAGCGCTACAAAGCAAGACCCTGTCTCAAAAAAAGTGTCAGCCTTTTCTTCCACTGTTTACAGTGAAAATTCTCCTGAGAGGAAAGGGATTGGACACTGCCCCACCCAAAACGGGCATCAAGCCTCTGAGAAGAAAGAGAAATGAAGAACAGGCCAAGAAAACTAGTGCAGGGGAGGGTGCAAAAGAAGAATAAAACAGGAAATGGAGTTCTTAGGTTCTTGTCTAAGATAAACAGTATTTGGGCTGGCTGAGAATGTAACAAACAAAAGAACAGAAAGAAATACCCGGATCACCACTGTCCAGGAATGCTGGGTAGTCAATGGCCCAGGCATGTGGTCCAGTGTCATTGCAAAATTAATCCTGGGGCCTGGACCTCCCTCTGTTTGGATGACCAGAGCGCCAATAGTCAAAAATGTATTAGAAACCTCACGGTTAATCAAGATCAGATTCCCGACTGTGTGCAGTTTTCTTACCGTGAACTCGGCAAGGGAGGTGAGTGGCTTTGCCTAAGTTATGCCAGGTGACATGTTAGACACTGAAGAGTCTGTCTGTTTCAGTGTACAAGAAAAAGTGAACCCAGATCAAGTGAGGGAAGAGAATCTGTCATGAATGGATGGTGGGAAAATAATTTTAGAGCTTGTTGTGAAATAGGAAATCATTGCAAAAGAAATGTCTAAGAGGGACTGAAGCACTTCTTCTGAGTAGGGCGCATCAGAAAGGGCAGATGAGGGGCTGGAGAGATGGCTTAGTGGTCAAGAGCACTTGTTGCTTTTGCAAAAGACTCGGGTTCCCAGAACCCACTTGGTGACTCACAACTATCTATAATTCCAGTTCCGGAGGATCTGCCACCCTCTTCTGACCTCCTCTGTACAAACGTGCATTCAGGCAAAACGCCCTTACAGATAAAGATAACTAAAAAGGGCAAATGGGAAAGGGATGTAATTGTTTGTCCCTCTGACTGTACCAATGAGGAGTTAAAACGCCTGATAGCCGCTGGCTATCAAATTTCAAAGGGGAAAAGAAACCTAATTTGTTTTCACTGCCTACCAAAATATAAAATGCTATGTGAGGGAGAGGGAAAAGTAGGCATTGAATTTGTCAACTTGCTCTTGCATTACCCCCAAAGCTACCCAAAGATAAAATGCATAGGCTCTTTAGTACAACCCCTCTTATGCCCCAAAACTGACAGAATTTCATAATTAAATGTTAAAACACTTGTCTTCTTATGCTTTATTTTGTTTTCCTCCTCTTAGTATTCAAGATGTCCAATCTTTAACTTCAATAACTTCTCTAGAAATTTATATTTTGTTTCATTAGGTTTTTACATATTTCATGATAATCAAACGTAGTGTTTTCTTCCTTTGTAGTGAGGTCATTTGAAGCCAGGCCAGCATCAAACATGGAGAGAGTTTTTTCCACCCTGTACTTCCCACCACATCTGGACGGGCCATTGGGAAGGAAGGTCGTGGGAATGTGGCTGAAATCTGGCCTGTTCCTTCTTAAGCCCGTAGGGAATTGCAAATCCTTTTAATGGAGTCAAATGCTGCTTATAAAACAGGATAGGAATTAAAGGAAGTAGCAGCGTTTATTAGAAATCTAAATGTCATCTTTTCTGCCCATACAGTTTTCTGGCCACACTGCTTCTTCTTCGGGTCCAGTTGAGCTCCTGGCTAGCTATGTGTCAAGTGATCCCTGTGATTCTGTCTTAGAAACACCTTGGAGTGTCTGACCAGCAGGAAATAGTTTGCAGCAGCTGTGATACAGGAACTCAGATAATGGGAAAAAAGTAAGATAAAATGGAAAATCAATACCAAAAAAGAGAAAATATCATGGAAAAAAAGCAATGCTTTCTTTTTTTCTAGCTTTTACTTCTTTTACTTCATTTTTCTTAATGTATGTGCGCACACATGCACAACCTTGCCACAATATGTGTGGGGATCAGAGGACAACTTGCTGGAAACTGTTTTCTCCTTCCACCATGTGGGGATCGAACTCAGGTCAATGGGCTTGGCAGCAAGCACCTTTACTTCTGAGTCATCTTGTTGGCCCCCTTTTTCTTCCTTTTCTTATATGGCTTTCAGTGTGGATGAATTAGGCACACATGACAACAAAGCCACTTAGTACAGAATATTAATTTTAACTCATCAAATCAGTGCTTCCCATTCTCAAAGGTTCTATTTTTGCAAATTGGGAACCCATACTACATTTTTGTCTAGTTACATGCCCACTGGGCCCCCTAGGAATATATGGCAGACAGCAGTATTGCAAAGTGACAATAATAATAATTAAAACTGATCAGGGCTTACATTTATATGGTTCTAGCTGTCTCTTACTGTTATTGCTTTGCCTGCTGCAACAATCTATGGTTTTGCCTTGTTCTGAGGAATGGCCAGCTATACTTCCTTATCTCACGCTTAGTCACTGCATGCCAATTCAAATCCTAGCCTAGAATTGGGGAATTATGAGGTGCAGATGAAATTCAAAGCTGTCCAGAATATCTGTTTACTGCTTGTGATGTATCACTGACTGTTGGGGAACATTATTTTAAGGTGTATTACTTTTGTTTATGTTGCATTTGTTTAACTCTGTGAAGCTGTGTTACTGTGCCTGTCTAAAACATCTGATGATCTAATAAAGATCTGAATGACCAACAGTGATGCAGGAGAGAGGATAGGTGGGGCTGGAAGGCAAAGAGAATATATAGAAGGAGAAATCTGGGAGGAGAGATCTAGGAATGGGGAGAAGGAGGAGGACTTCAGGGGCCAGCCACCCAGCTACACTGCAAGCCATGGAGTAAGAGTAAGATATTGTTTTGGCCACGTCACAAGACCCCTGAGCAAGACTACCACAGAGCCGATATCCAATGCAAAATACAAAGGGATTTATTGATAACAAGCAAGCTTGAGCTTGGTCCATGTCCAACACACTAGTTAGCCAGGTGAAGGAGGACGGCCCTGAGCTCTCAGGGTGAGGGTTTTTTTTGTTTGTTTGTTTTTGTTTTTTTCCTTTTATTTTATTTTACAATACCATTCAGTTCTACATATCAGCCACGGATTCCCTTGTTCTCCCCTCTCCTGCCCCCCTCCCCTTTCCCCTCCGCCCCTCACCCACCACCCATTCCCACCTCCTCCAGGGCAAAGCCTTCCCCGAGGACTGAGATCGATCTGGTAGACTCAGTCCAGGCAGGTCCAGTCCCCTCCTCCCAGACTGAGCCAAGTGTCCCTGCATAAGCCCCAGGACAAACAGCCAACTCATGCAATGAGCACAGGACATGGTACCACTGCCTAGATGCCTCCCAAACAGATCAAGCCAATCAACTGTCTCACCTATTCAGAGGGCCTGATCCAGTTGGGGGCCCCTCAGCCTT